CTTCACCTTCCAGCCCGACCCGGAGACCCAGGAGTACGGTGAGCTGGGGGCTGCCCTGGGCGCTCCGCTGCCACCCACGCGAGTAACCCGAGCCCTGCTCCCTGGAGCCTCGTCCGGCCTTTGGGGCCGACGGGGGTCTCCTCCTGGCTCTGTTTTGGTGACAGCTTCACTCTTGGGAGGCAGCCCTTCTGCACCCTCGACACGGGTGGGAGTCTGGAAGGGCCTGAGGGTGAAGGGTGTCGCCGAGGGTTCACCCCCTTTCTCCGCTCCCCATCCTGGCTTTCCCTTCCCTGGGCTTAGATATTGTTCAGCTTGCCCGGGCCCGGGCCACTCACCACAGGCTGCGGTGTTTACAAGGAAGGTTCTTTATTTATTTTTATTTTTTCCTTTGGCAGATTAGAGAAAACAGAGGAAGTAATTGATTTGATTTTCCCAAGGTCACAGAATAGGTTCTTTCCAGAGACGGGAGAGATCCAGGCTCCTAGCTAAGCCTAGTACTGAGCCTGTGCTGGGCTAGGCTGCAGGTGAGGGGAGGAGACGGCCTCCAGTGCTGCCCGAGGTGGGAAGGACATAGAGCACACCTCACACTATGGCAGGACTTTTACGATTTCTTCTGCAAGTTCTGTGTAATCTTCAAACGTCCAGTGTCTGTCATCAGAACATCGGGAACAAAACGGTTCCCTTTTCCTTGTCTAAAAACTTCTCCGGGGCTAGAGCTGAAGTGTGTGTGTTTACTTGTGAATAAGTAAGAATGAACTTTTATTGAGGGCTTACCAGGGGCAGGCACTCCTTTGATGCTTAGGACAACCTTAAAGAGGCTGGTCATGTTGAAATTCCCATTTTCAGTTAGGTTATTTGAGGGCTTGAGATAGTTTGCCCAAGGTTACACAGACACATTAGTGGGATTAAATCTCTCCATAATTGTAGTTTCAGTACAAATACAGTCTGCATCATTTGATCAAAAGCATCTCCCATGTTGTTATAGAGTTTTTGTGACCTTCTTTAGAAGACATGTCCTCTGGAGTAGAAACACTGATTGAATGGTTAAAATCTTGGTCCTAGAATCAGATTGTCCTAGGTTCTGTTTAGGTCCTGATACCTGTAACTTTGGACTCATCACTTACCCTCCGTAAGCCTCAGTTTCTTTATAAGTAACGAGTTAATAATAATGCCCACTTCAGAGGATTTTGTTATGAGGACTAAGTAAAGATGATGTGTATGGTATACTTGACACAGTCTCTGACTACACTCAGCAATAAATGGAAACTTTAAATAATTACCATTATGCTTTAGATATTATACTTTTGCAGTGTTATAAATAATGCAGATAGGAACATTTCATGTGTCATTTATGTGACATTATTTCTTTAGGATAAAGTCCCAGGGAGGATATTTCTGACTTGAAGAAATGAACACTTTAATGGATTTTAATGCATAGCTCAGATTTCCATTTTATACTCCCATTTGTATGTATGAGGGTGAATGTTGGGTATCATGCTGAAATCACAGGTGTACTGTGATATTGTGACTTATAATTAAGGCTACATATTCAGTCTTTGTTCCATTCCTGGCACTGAGCTCCTAAAACCCTTGGAATTTCTTGTGATGGGAGCAATAAAGGTGTCTTGTTATGTTAATGTTGACTTTTGCAAAGCCCCTAAGTCTGTTAAGAATGGGAGCTGGTCACTAGAGGAACCAACCATGTGATTAGAGAGTTGGAATTTTCACTCCCACCCACCTGACCTCTGGGGAGGGAGAGGGACTAGAGATAGAATGAATTGGCAGAGGCCCATGATTTAATCAATTATGCCTATGTAATGAAGCCTCCATAGGAACCCAAAAGGACAGGATTCAGAGAGCTTCTAGGTTGGCGAATAGGTGGAGATTTGGGGAGAGGGTGCGTTCAGGGAGACTGGAAGCTCCTTGCCTCTTCCCATATACATTGCCCTATGCATCTCTTTCATCTGGCTGTTGAGTTATATCCTTTTATAATAAACCGGCAATCTAGTAAGTAAACTGTTTTTCTGAGTCCTGTGAGCTGCTTTAACAAATTAATTGAACTAAAGAAGGAGTTTGTTTGAACCTCCAATCTTTATCAGGTCAGTCAGAAGAAGCATAGGAAACAACCTGGATTTGCCATTGGCATCTGAATTGGCCAGTGGGGATAGTCTTGTAGGACTGAGCCCTTAGGCTGTGGAATCTGATGCTGTTATTGGAAAGGGGACCTGGCCCTAAGTGTGTCTGCCTAGGCCCTAGGGCAGTGATGGCGAACCTATGACACGTGTGTCAGAGGTGACATGCAAACTCATTTTTTTGGTTGATTTTTCTTTATTTAATGGCATTTAAATATATAAAATAAATATCAAAAATATAAGTCTTTGTTTTACTATGGTTGCAAATATCAAAAAATTTCTATATGTGACACGGCACCAGAGTTAAGTTAGGGTTTTTCAAAATGCTGACACGCCGAGCTCAAAAGGTTCACCATCACTGCCCTAGGGCCAGCCAGTAGTCTGTTTATTTATTTATTTTTTCAGTTTCAAGAAAAATGATTTTAAATATAATAATGTTACATGTGGTGAACCTTAATATTTCAGAAAAAACGATCTTAAATATAATGTTACATGCAATAAACATTAATATCTCAACAAAAACAATTTTAAATATGATGTTACATGCAATAGACACCAATTATTTAAGAAAAATGATCTTACATATAATAATATTACATGTAATAAACATTAATATTTCAAGAATAAAAGATTTTAAGTATAATAATATTACCAAAACTGTACTAACATAGTATGATAGCACAAAAGTTGTAGGAAATATTAAAAATCTGCAAATAACAGGATTACTTCTATTATATTCTAGAATATTTTTCCCTCCTCTGGCTCTATTTTTGTTCATCAGTTTATGTTATTCATTATATTCCACAAATGAGTGAGATCATTTGATACTTATCTTTCTCCAACTTGCTTATTTTGATTAGCATGATGCTTTTAACGTCTATTTTGTCTGATATGAGTATTGCTACTCCAGCTTTTTTTTCGTTTCATTTGCATGGAAGAAATTTTTTCCATCCCTTCACTTTCATCCTGTGTGTGTCTTTTGTTTTGAGGTGGGTCTCTTGTAGACAGCATAGAGTTGGGTCATGTTTTTGCATCCATTCAGCTACTCCATGCCTTTTTATTGGAGCATTTAATCCATTTACATTTAAGGATATTACTGATAGGCACTTATTTATTGCCATTTTAGTTCTGTATGGCTACGTTTCTCTTTCTGTTTATTCTCATTACAGCAATCCCTTTAGCATTTCTTGTAATGCTTGCTTGGTGGTGATGTACTTCTTTAGCCCTTTCTTTTTTGTCTGGGAAGCTCTTTATTTGACAGTCTGTTTTGAATGATAGCCTTGATGGATACAGTAATATTGGTTTTAGATCCTTGCTTTTCATTACCTTGAATACTTTGTTCCATTCCTTTCTGGCCTGTAGGTTTTCTGATGAGAAATCAGGTATCCACCTTATTGAAGCTTCTCTGTAGGTAACAGTTTCCTTCTCTCTTTCTGCCTTTAAGATTCTCTCTTTGTCTTTAATTTTTGACATTTTAATTATTATGTGTCTGGGTGTGGGCCTGTTTAGGTTCTTCTTGCTTGGAGTTCTCTGTACCTCCTGGACTTGTGTGAGTTTTTCTTTTGCCAGGTTAAGGAAGTTTTCTGCCATTATTTCTTCAAACACATTCTCTATTCCCTTCTCCCTTTCTGCCTCTTCATACACACCTGATATTTGAATATTGTTATGTTTCACATTGTCCCACAGCTCCCTTAATCTATCCTCATGGTTTGTAATTGTTTTTTCTTCTGGGTTCTCTGATTGAAAAATTTTTTCAACCCTATCTTCAAATTCATTATTTCAACCGTCAGCTTCCCCTAATCCGCTGTGTATTCCATCCAATGTGTTCTTTATTTGTGTTATGTCATTCTTTATCTCGGACTGTTCTTTTTTCATAGTTACTATATCTTTTTTCATACTGTTGAGCATTTTTGCCATCATTAATCTGAACTCTGTTACTGATAAATTTTTTTATCTCTGCTTCATTTATCTATTGTTCTGGAGAATTCTCTAGTTATTTCATTTTGAGGTTGTTTCTTTGTTTCCTCATTTTGGTTGTTTGGGTTTGTGACAATGTATTAGGTAGATCCTCTACACCTCTCAATCAATCTCTAATGCAGGACAGTGTTAAAGGCTGTTTCTGACTAATTGGATCAGGCAAAGACTCAAAAGCTCCAGAGACCACCTCTGTCTACAGACTAATAGGATTTCAACTAGAATTGCCCCCAGGCAATTGTCCTCAGGTGTAGCTAGAATTTTTTCAACAGGGTGGGGCAGTGGCTTCTGCCTGGAGTCTAATTGTTACTTTTAATCTCTTAAATGGCCTCAAAGCAAGGTGTTTTCCAATAGGGTGTGTCGACTGTCTTCCCTTCAGGCAAGGCAAATGTCTATGTGGGAAAGATGTCCTCTGCTGGGTGAGGGAATGACAGCCCAGGAAACTTGAGGTGTCTGCCTTCTGAACTCTATCTCCTAAGTCCCCAGTCCTGGGTTCTGCTTTCACAGCTCCAGTCCACTTCACCCTCCCTCTTCTAGAGCACAAGGTGGGTGGCTCCACAGGGAATTTTTGTGCATTATCCCTTCAAGAGAGTGCCCGAACTTTCAGCTGCCACTTCCTGGCAGACAGCACCCCACTGATTTTTCACAGCTAGATGTTATGTGGGTACCCTCCTCAGTTTGGTGCTCTCTGCTGGGGAGCCCAAATTTGGGATTAGATCCCAGAGTTCTCAGTAGCACCCCCGCCCCCACAGCTGAGATATCTCTCCAGAACTTCAGTTGCTGTCTGTGGGTGCCTGGCCAGCCCTTTCATGCCTCTCCCCCTCCTACCAGTCTCTATGTGGTCTCCACCTTCAGTCCTTGGGTATCAGGGTTCTCTCCTGTGAGTTTTCTGTTGATTATTCAGGAAGCCTTTTTTAAAAAAATATGTTTTT